CGTGTTCCCCAGCACACGGTATTCAGAGTCACGGGAGGTTTCTCTGCACGAGTCCATGATTGCTCACTTTGGTTCCTTAACTCACAGTAGTTTGCAGGAATTTTGCATGCCATCATTCTCTAAGGCAGGGGTCCTCAAAACTTTTTGAATAGGGGGCCAGTTGAGGGGTGCCAGGGATGGGCGTAGGCCGCCAAGGCGTTGCGGGTGGGGGGGTGAGGGCCGGGGAGGAGGGCACGTGCGTGTGCGCACGCAGAAAGGCAGGGGCGTGGCGTGCGCAGAGATCATTTCTCCCAACGAGTCCAAAATGATCTCCTTGCAAGCAAGCCAGCGCCTTGGGGGCGGCTTGCTCACAAGATCGTTTTGGACTCGCTTGGAGAAAAGGATCTCCCAGCAAGGCGCCGGCTTGCTCGCAAGGAGATCCTTTTCTCCAAATGAGTCCAAACCGATCTCCTTGTGAGCAAGCTGGCACCTCGTGGAGGTCATTTTGGACTCACTCGCGCGCACGTGGCAAGCTATGGCAGGCGGGATAAATGGGCATGGCAGACCAGATCCAGCCCGCAGGCCGTGGTTTAAGGGCCCATGCTCTAAGGCTTTCCAAGCATTTCCACCCGTTTGTATGAGTGAGGAAAGTGTTATCTGGGTATCAGACTAAACATGCTAAGACAAACACATGCATGTCCATTACTGCCCTATACCACAGTGCCACCTTGTGGCTGTACAATGGAACATGCAGGAAGGCAGCTGAAGAAAACCTCCATTAACAAAGCACATGTAAAGGAGCTGATTTCAAAGAATTCAAAAGCAAAAGCCTTGATAAAGTGGCAACTTAAAAGCCCCATGTACAAGCCCCTTGTTTTCAACACTGGAGTAATATAGACACAAAATGACTAGTAGCAATGAGTAGCCATATCAACACCAATTCACCTAATCCCCTTTTAAAGACTTCCAAGCTGGTGGTCATCACCACATACTGTGGGAGCAAAGTTCATCATGCCCAAGGTTCTCCCCTTTTCCTAGCTGGTACAAAGATCCTAATAATGCATATCTGCAAATAAGTACACAGCATAAGAGATATAATATGCACAGTAATAAGGCCTCTTCCTTCAGGTTTGTGTTGCTGGTGGCCGCTTTAATATGCATTATGATTTTCATTGAGATGCTCCGCAGGGAAAAAAAACACGCACAAAATATTTTTTTAATATGCAACTTTAATTTTTAATAAACAAATCTGTAAAAGACTAAGATTTAGTTTTAGAATTTACACAGAAGTCTTCTTATATTAAGCATATTTTTCTTTTTAAAAAACCTCGAGTCAATACAATACTACCGATCTGAGTAGTTGTTATGTGCTTAGATGTACTCCTATAAAAACTATACATGGAAACTGGTATTGTAAGGTTACAATACACTGCTCCAATTCTAGCATTCCAGAAATCATCAGAGTAACACTTGAAAGCCAATATATCCAAGTTTGGTCATTTTTTGATTGTACTGAACAATAGTTTGGGTCCCAAATTAGCCACTGTTAGAATACACTGGCTGAAATCAAAGGAACAAGCAAGGCATGACTAACTTAAATCCCACTGATTTCAAAAGGTCTACTCTTAGTCTAACTATATCTAGATCCAAACAACAGCATTGCACATTTAGACAGAAAAAATGCTGCAACTCCCATTTGGGCCTCTCTGTCAAGGCATTTATTCTGCACTTGTGATCTCTCATCATGGAAGTTTGAGGTTCCTTTTCATGTCCTCCACTTCCAGAAACTCTCCCATGTTTTCCACCCATTTTCACAGGTTTTTAGCACAAAAGTCAGTTATATTTCAGACTTGGAACAAAAGGAATTAAATTCCCTGTCATGATTCTAATATATACTGCAACTATGCCACAGCACCAACTTGTGTGGTTGCTAAGTGAACACATATTATTTGTCATTATTTTTTTAAAATATAAACCATGCTGATAGTCCTCTATAGGACTCTCTGGATATAGAAAGGCAGACAAAAACAAACCCCAGAAAAAAAAAAACCCTTGTAACAGACACATTCCCTTCTGCAAAAGAAAAATAGAAGAAGCCTCAGCGAAGTGGAAGGGTAAACATCTCATGTGCAGAAGCCCTTAGTGCACATTGGTGTGTAGGTGACATTGCAACAATACACCAGTGACCCTTCCGCCACGGTTGCATGCCTTTGCCCATTCCTGACTGACTAACAGGCTCAGGTGTGCAGAGCACAGCTTGCCCCCTCAAAGTCTACCCTTTCCTTTGTCTGTCTTCACCATCACACAAGGAAATACCAGCAAGAAAAGTAAATTTCCTGCCTGTTCTTGCTAATAGTTCTTTCTTGGAGGAAAAAGACATGTGGATTTAAAATTCTGACATTTACCATTTCCATGTATACTTCGTCAGGTAATAATTCCAGATAGATGCTTCTGAAGGGAGAAATCACACTAATCTTTGCACGATAAGAAATAAATAGGTGTGTGTAGGCAGCTAAGCATCCTGAATAGCCTGAATAGCCTCACCATAGTATTATTATTATTATTTCTATACCACCCATAGCCAAAGCTCTCTGGGTGGTTCACAACGCTGAAGTCCCCCATCCAGATTCCAACCAGGCCTGACCCTGCTTAGCTTCCAAGATGAGGCGTGATCAGGCCCTTCAGGCTACATGGAAGCTACTTTTGCACAGTCGTTCTCAATTTCTCCCCCAACTCCAGCCATTTCACACTTTCGATGGGATACAAACATCTTTCTAGCTTAACTTGGCAAAGTTCATATTTAAGGTGTCTCCATCTCTCATTTGAGCAATTCAGACCCTTTCATATTTGAAGTTGCCAGCAATTTAGAATAAACCCAGGCCAAATATTTTGAGAACTCCAAAATAAATACTGCTACTAAGTTATGCCCATACATTTTAGAGCATCATGTAAGACAACATCTTGCTAGGAACTGACCATTGTTGCTGTTAAAGACCCAATTCTCTTCTGATAACAATCTAAAGGAAGAGTTAAGATTCCTGGAATGCTGCAATGGTATCAAGATCATTCCCTTTCTCTGCCACCTCCAAAATACACTTCCAAAGCTTCATGTTTGAACTGTGTGCACATGTGCATGTTAAGGCACCTGTCTTTTAACGTACCTTAAAAGTAGAATGTGTCATGCCTTCCACAACCGCAAACAAAAGAATCTTATTAAAATAAGCTAGTCTGCAGAGAGGAGTTTCCCACCAGGTGAGTCTGCAAATAGCTGAAATGTAGAAGGCAAAATTTTGAGACCAGTATAACCTAAAGCAAGTAGCAGCATTTTACTCTGTTCCTGCCCAGTATCTCCAACCCTCTCCCTGCCAAAATTAATAATGGAAACCGTATATAAGCAAGGCTGTTTTCACTGAAAGGCTCTTTTGACATTTCAAGAAAATTTACTAATGAAATGAGATTAGGGAAGCTGCAGTATCTTTTGAATTAACTGTTGGGACAAAGCTACATAAAGAACTTCAAACATAACTTAATATCTACTTGTACTGTTTGCAGAACTAGAATTGTGTGTTTTTCTGAATTAATAACTTTTTCTAAGTCATTTTCCTTTGGGGCAAATTAACTTAAATGTTACGGTTTATGTCTAATATCGGTAGTCAGGACAAAAATATTGAAGTGAAGTAAAATATGCTATTGCAGCTTTATTCCAAAGACTTACATGCAATTAAGATAACAATGATCTATAGCAGCTGCAAAAAAGCAAATGCCATCAATGTGAAGGGGAAAAACATAGACATTCATGTGGCCTCCAGAGTATGAAACGGAGGCCTCAAAAAGGAAAGGATTAAGAAGATGCCTCCTGCAAGAAGACAAACTGATTTGACCAATAAGCTCAAAAATCAACATCCAAAAGGTCAAGGTAATCATGGTTGTCCAAGCCCTTACAGTTACATTTTTTCCCTTCAGAGTCAAGAATGTTCTGCCACACACCCCTTAAACAAACTCCAGCTCAGCTGCCAGTACAAGGGAACATCCTGCTTTCCACGTTCATCTGGCTATCCTGGATTTACAGTTTCTCTGACTACCAGTTCAAGACATGTTTTTATGCCAAATCTGACATCTGTTCTTGTTGTATATCCAAAGCACTTTGTAATAGTTGGCAATCTATTAATAAAAACTCTGTTCCATCCAAGACACTGACATGAAAACTTTGCATCCCCTTTTCAGGGCAAGAATTTCTGCTACCACAAATTACTTTTTCTTTTTGCACAAAAGCTCAGGTAAACCTCCCTTCCAATGGGGAGGCCAAAGGTGAACTAAGAGACCAAATGTGAAGAATACTGAGATTTTTGCGCTGGAAAAAAATCTGAAAGATGCTGAATGGGTAATGATTTTCAAGGAAAGATCTCCATGCAATGAACTTGATTCTCAACAGCTCTTGCCAATTGAACTATTGTGAAATGTGCATGTACATTTTGCATTCTGATGTAGGATTTTCCACATGGATATTCCTCTCTAAAGAAATAACATATTAGAGGAACCACTTCAAACCTACAAAGTGATTCAGTTTATGAGCTATTAAAGGTACTAAGCACATTGCCAAATGACGTCTCTTGAAAAAATATTTGGGACCTGCATTCTATGTTGGAAAGAACTGGGAAGTAGAATGCGTGGGATTACATGAGCAAATTACATATAAATATACATAACTTAATCATAATTTATCCTTCTGGAAAATTCCAAAACCAAAACTTTTTGATGTTATCAGTTAAAGTATCAACCAACTCACAAAATGTTCATATCAAGTGCCATTAATTCGCAAGATGGTATATAAAATCAATCTACGATATTAGTTTTTGGAAAACATTGCAGATAATAAGCTAAAAGGTTAGGAGTACAAGCTCCCAACTGTAGATGAAGTCTTCCAACATGACAAAATCAACTGCTTTGCTACAATTAAAACTCTTGTGTGCAACAAAAATATAACACATTTCCCAACACACAAGATTATTTCTTCCTTCTTCTTTCTATTGCATCTGACAACTCCCACACTTATTGGGATCTTCACCGTCAAGCCTGATCCATTTCTTCTCAATTTCAACCTGCAATATGAAAGCAGAATGAGTTTAATTAGGAAACAATTACATTATTAGAGAAACTCTTGACATTATCCTCACTCAAGTAATTAAGCACCATCTCAACCCTAATACAAATAATTAAGGACTGTCTCAATTAAATGCTACCAGGAAAGTACAAAAGTTTGTATTATTCCACAAGTGGTTACATGATTTGCTACCATTTACACAAAACACCCAGTACAACCAGAACCTAGTGTAAGCTATGACAAGTTTTGAAACTGCTTGAACAAATAAAATCAAGCACTGGATTTGACATTCCTGCAAGGATAAAAACTGACTTCCACAACTGGTAGAAGCTTTGTGGTAACTAAAGATACAGCCCTGTAGGACACAACATGTGCTAATAACATACCAAGAACTGTGGATCTAACAACTGCTTGGTCTGAGCCAACTGTAAAAGAGTAGCCATGAATGTTCGTTGTGCCAGAACAGGAGGATTCCTATAGGATAACATGTTAGCATTACAAGAGGTTTAACAGAAAAAGGTCTACTTCATCAAATATATTCCCTGAGCAGAAAGCTGAAGAAATCTGGGCTATGGGGAAAAGTGACACATCACTGGCTAAAACAAGGGCACAAGATTACCTGGCAGTTATAACACACTTTCCGAAGCACGTGCTTCTGCGGTTGGATGTCACTCTCAATGCCCAATGATTTCACCTCGGTTCCAGAAGCACACATGTCGGGGACAGCAAACTGCACTGTAGCAAAGGGATTCCAGTCACAGGGGATTTCCTGATCCGACCCGAGCTCTAGTTTGTAAGACAAACTGTGTGGATGATCTGGACCTGGGGAAGAGGAATAAAGGGAGAAATGTCATAAAGAAGCTCAACAAAGACAAGTGGTTGAGTGCGCAATCAAACAACAGGAGGTTTTTGCTAAGTAATGATTAAATACAGCAGCCCAATGAAAGCAATTTGGCGGGGCACAAGCATCACTAATCCCCATTGACAAGATCTCAGAGACATTTGCTCCATGGCTTCAATCTTCATAACTTGGAAAACTATAAATCCTTTCATAACTTAATATTCACATGTGGTTGTGTGCTGCATTATATAGTTCACTTTTTCAGTATGCTCCCTTCCAGGAGGAACCCACTTCCAAATTTCTTCATCATGGCACACTTTAAATCCCTTTTGTCAGGTATGGAAACAATCAAAAATGGATAGTTATATGTTTAGAAATACAATGAAGCAAAGTATGCATCACTCAATTTATATCTTTCTCCTGATGCAGTATTTATACTTTAGTGCTTTAAAAAATAAGGAAAGGACACATAAAACAATCCTTGTCCCCATACTGCTCTTTAGAATTTGGGTCAGTTCACATAGAAGACTAAACTTACTGCAGCCACAACTCAATGAATTCAAACAAAACTGGACAGGTTTTGGCCTTGGCTTTACTGTTTGCAAGGTAAGGGATAGTTGCCACTGTGAACTGTCTAAACATGCGCACTGAAACACACATATAGACAGAAGTGTACCGTATTTCTCATAATACAGCCAAGGCAGGAAACAGAAACACCTTTCCCAGTGGCAGCCCTTTAAGAAATGGCCATGATTAAACCCAGGGCTGTAGCGTTGAGAAACGTGGAGTTGAGTCAGAGTCGGAGTGGGTAAAAATGTACCAACTCCAACTTTTAATACATTTAAATTGTAATATAAATTAGATGTTAACATTTCCTGTTTCACAAATAAAACTCTGAGTAACCTATTTTTTCAGGTTATATTTTCAAGATATATTTTAACAGGCTAGGGGACTAAAAAGTAGCCTGGTGATTCACACTGGCAGTGCCTTGTATGTTGAGTGTTTTCACTCAGTATAGGAAATAATTAGTTTTATATATACATATATATGAGTCAGAATTGGAGTCCAAGGTAGCATAAACTGAGAAGTCAAAGGTTTTATGCATCAACTCCACAGCCCTGATTAAACCATGTGGATTCCATTTATCTCCTTTTACAGCAAGAGAGGATCGGGGGGGGGGGGGAGGAAACCTTCAAAGCAATTACTCTCTTAGTGTTCCAGCTCAGAAGAATGAAGAGCAGCCCACCAAATAACTTCACTGAGAGCTATTTAAAGCCTTATGAAGTCTTACTCATCCCAAGTCATTGCCAGTATATGTACATTCTTGCCAAGAAGCCTGGAGATCTGAGACTTTAAATTAATGTAACTGGATTTGACATCAACAATCATCAAGTGCTTCTGCAAAAAGCCTGTGGCAGGAATTCAGTGAAGAAGCTCATGAATTCAGCTGAATCCGGTGGGATTTACTCAACAGTGTTTGTTAAGGATTACATCCAACATTTATGTAGTTACCAGAAATCCAAAACCAGACTAAAATTAAAATATGTAGGCAGCAACATAAAGCATAAACTGGGCTGCCTTTATTACTGTGTTACTAATAAGCATGGCACCCATTTTCTTGGTAATGCTCCGTCACCACTTGGCAGGGTAGAAAAAAATCAATTTTTTTTTTAAATAATCAGACTGTTTGGATTTAAATCGGTTATTTTAATTTAAACTGGATTTTCTTAAAATAAAATGCTTCTTGAGGGGAAAAATCTATCTAAAGTCAGTTTCCTATTTAAGATACATTATAGTCCAAACATTATTCATTGTGAAATAAGAATTTGTTTTTAGTTATATAGTGTGAGGCTGTATATCCATGCAATGCTTAAATTTTTTGGTAAATGGATCCCATTAATCCATTCACAATGTCACATTCTTCCAGAAGTTTCTGTAAGATTACTGGGCAATCTTTCCACCTAGAAGATATTATCACAGATGCTTGGTTTTACAGTTCTCAAAACTGTGAATGTGTGTCTGCAGAGATTGCATGCCTCTTCTTCACAGCAAAAAAAGTTATAACATAAGCATCAGTGCTTTTTTTTGTCATAGAAGGCACCAGAACAAAGTTCCAGCACCTTTTTTCAACAGATTTTCCAAGTTTTAAAAATAACTTTTGAAAATTTGATGTTTGGTCCACGTGGATTTGAATCACCCTGTTGAGCGTAGCAGGTCGGCAGCAAAATCATTAAAATGGTGCATGCAGGCTGCTTGTGTGTCAAGTCTGATGCATGTGTACTTCATCGGCACTGGTTGTGACGGCACTGCTCGGCTTGTGATTGGTCGTGTGCCGAGTGCTTACTGCTGTTATGTTTCATTACACAACTGACGTGTGCGGGTGTGTGTACAGTGTACGTGTGAAAGGTAAATAATTTCATGAGTTCCGGTACCTTTTTTCTTACAAAAAAAGCACTGATAAGCATACATAATTGAGAAAAAAAACCTTAATTGCATTTCCTTTGCAAATCAACCCCTTACCTCTTAAAACTGCCAAGTTTCAAAAAGTTCAATGAATAGAAAATTGCTGGGGGTGGAACAGATCTGCACAAGAAGCTAAGTGTGAGGATGGGAGGGCAAGCAGTGAAAATTAAAGTGAAACCTTTTGACCACTGTGCTCTACAAGTCTTTGGATCTTTTCATGTATAGCCTGAGGTTTATTATAGAAAACCTATAATGGCAGCAGGCTGTAAAGGAGACCCAGTTTGGGAATATTTTAAAGAAGTTCCTCTACCTACAGGTAAGGCAGACATGCGTGAAAATTGTGTGAAAAATCACATTTAATTTTGGTCTTACTGACTAGTGATTTAAATCATGGATCATGAATCAAATTCACCCTGCCAGTTGGCCATGGACAGGGTCCAGCAAACACTGACTTCTGTTTGGCCATGTTCCCATCAACACCTTACACACAACAAGAATTATCAAGGGACAAACTATAAAATGACCAAAAGATAAAATGTAGACAAATGATCACAGCAAGACTAACATTATTCCACAGCATCACAGTCATATGAACAGGCCCTGGCTGCAGTAATTTTTAATAGGGTTTATTCAAATTACTAAATTATCAATAAAAGCCACAACCACCTTTTCAAGTTCCATTTTTGAAAAGGCAGTTGCATGCTGAAACATGCACCATGGGATCACATATACCCTCAGAATACCACACAAACCCAAGTTCAACTAAATTAGGTTACTTCTCTCGTCACTGGGGGGGAAAGTAATTGCATACTTGGCTATGCTAAAAAGCTTAAGTGCTTCTGCTACACTGGGTATTCCTTTAATGAAACATCAGTGGAGCAGAAGTGTAACTGGAGGCTTTCTCTGTCAGCGTGGATATTCCAGCACTGATGCAGACTGAATGCGTTCGCTAGTCCACCAGCAGAGCACTAGAGGATATTCGTTCCCAAGTGGAGCCAGTATGTCAAGTGCAATAGCCTTAGCAGAAACCCAGAATCACAAGGCAGGTTTGGCAATGCAGCCATCCAGCTGTATCATGCTGCTCTCTTTTGGTGGAGAGGGGTTGTGTCAGTTGCTTGGGCAGTAAGAGGCTAGTTGTGTTTCTCCTTTGTATCTCCAAACATATATTTACATGTTCTGAACTGGAAGTGCCTCAAATATTTCATGGAAATCTTATTTTGCATCATACATATGTCTATTATTTTATGCATAGTATATTTTCTTCGCTCAGACCAGAGGCGAGCACTAATGAAGTCTACCCTTTCTTATACCCTTCTTCAACAATACTGATTACTCCCAGATTTATGAGGAAAGTTCATAATATGAAGTAGGGTGTAGGGCTTCATGGCCACACATTGTTCTTCTTTCTCTTCTCTGCTTCTAGCAAGAATATAACTGTGCAACAAATTTACACAGCTCACAGAATCTGCATTTTCTTGACCGAGGGGGGTTGTTTTTAGTGCCAGAATACAAAAGCCCTTTATCTAAGCATGCAACTGGACACCAAGCCAAGGATGATATATTGCTACCTATCAACCCCTCAAAATAGGGAAAAAGACCAGTTGGAGAAAGTCCTCTGCATTTCCTTCTCCAAGAGTAACAGAGTTACTTCCTGCAATAAAAAGTTCTTTATTCCCCTTTTGCATACATTTGAAGACACAGATGCACTTGATATCTGGAAAGGTGATGACTAATGGACTGCGAAAACTGGAAAGAAGATACACTTCCAGAGCAATTTGAGGATTCTTAATGTATGCAGATTCCCTTTTTCAAAGTTTAATGCTTTATAGTTCCAAAACAGCATTTAAAAAATTTAACTGGCACCACCAAGGAAGAACGTTATCCCTGATCTAAAAGACCCAGGATATAAGTTAACAAAAGGTTTTCAACAAGAGGTTTTCAAACATGAAGCTGTGTTTTAAGGAGGAAATCCTTGCATCTTCTGAATGAAATGTGCAAATTCGGCCTAATGGTATCACATCATTATCAAGGCTGGTTTAGAGCCTTCTAAACTCAGAAACTTCTAAAGCACAGGGGAATGTTACCTGCGAAGAGTGACTTTTGCTTTTTCCCAAATGAATAGGCCAGTTCAGCATCTGTAGCTAGACAAACAGGTGCAAATGTGCAATAAGGCCAACAGATACTCCAATACATAGAGGCTCTACATGATGTGTTTTAATCAGTTGGTCACTGGCCCTTCTGCTAACATCACTGGCATGCCAAATTGTTAACTCGATATGAGAAAACGTAATCCCCCATCAGCACAATGTTATACTATCAAAGAAAGCATTTATGTAAACCAAGTATTTACTTGAGTTTTTATCTGGAAGCCTGTCGATCTTCCACACAATTGCTCTGTAGGCACTTTCATATTTGGCTGTTCCAACTGAAACCTGTATGACAGTGTCTGATTCAATCTCTGTTAAGGAGCCAAGGCAAGTTCTTCTGTTCATTTTTGCTTTCAGGGACTTCTGTCTTTGGAGGTTCATGGTCCAAAGAGTTTTGATCCACTGTGGAGGAACAGGAAAGTGTACCATAATATTTTCGCAGTATTTCATGGAATGTGATTGCATTGAAGCCAGAGCAAAAGGGGACATGTTTATGAAAGCCTGCAGTTCGACATAAGCACCCTGAATTACTACCAAGGCTTTGACAGAAAATGGCAGATCAGATCCATTATACTGAGTTCTAAATCGCATAAGCTCTATCTTACAGCCTTCCGGTGGTTTAAATTTGATTATCCTTGTCTGCTCAAATTCCTGTTTTTTCACACACTGGTGGAAGTGATAGTCAAGAATTTCAATCCATTTCTTCTCAGTGTCCTTCTCAAAGTAATCATCACCTCTGCTCTGAAGTTCCAGGTCATTTAGTGTCAAAAAACAATCAGAATTTCCATTCACAAAGCTCAAGCAATAAATGTGTGTGATGACAGCACTTTCAACTAGTTTCCCTTTTGCCTTAGTGGTCCTCCCCCAAAAATTGTCCACTATCTCCAGAATCATTTCCTGTTCTTCATAATGTTTTTTTGGTTTGGAAAGAGCAGGAAGCTTCATTAATTCTTCCTCAATGATTACCAGGAATTCTGTAAAGTCATTGTAATCAGTTGTCCCCAGCTTCAGCATCTGTTCTATTTCTGGTTCATGAACTACTTCAGCTTTGGGATATTTCTTTTTCTCCATGTAAGACACATGCTCAATCTTTACAGTATGGATTTTCCCAGAAATGCTGCAGTTCTCTAGCTTAGGTTCTGAAAGCTTGCAAAATGGGTGCAACTGGAATTCTTTGAAAGGCTTCTCAAGGCCCTTTTCATAGTACATTTGTAGGATTCCTCCAGGTAAGACCCTAAGGTATATAGGCCCCCACTGCCTGGATGACATCATGTTCTTCTTTTCGGGAATCCTCAACATGAAAGGCCAGCCATCTTTTCTCTGGCTGGTGAAGAGGCTGTGTGGAATGAATGACGAGAAGCCATCTCCAGCATATATGCACGGCATGGCTGTCAAAGTCCTTTCATCATCTGCAGAAACAGTTTGCAAGTGCTCAAGCCTATCACAAAAATAGCTGAACGATCCCTGGTTGAGGCTTTTCTGATCAGGAAAGAGTTCCCTTTTTTTGGAAGGACAACAATTCTTTTCAAAGCTACTAGAAGATACACAAGGTGAATCTTCTGACCAAAATGGACTAGAAAAAGCACAGTCATTCTGAACGTATTGGAAAAAGGTTTGTGATTCTATGGAATCGTCCAGTTCCCTTGTGTTGTCTCGATGAGTGGTATTTGCACCATCCGTTCGGTTTGGGGCAGAAACCTCTGAGCAATGGTCAATCTGGAACGTACTAGATGTTTTCTGGGTCAATGGGAGAACACAGGCGTTGGATGACAGCTCTGGGATAGGGCAAAGGTGACCTCCTGATTTGGGAAAGCAAGGACTTACAGGATATTCCTTGGTGGGTGTACAGAGAGGAGAATTACTAGGAGGGCCTGGGCTAAAGTAGCAGTCCACTACAGGAGAGGAGAGAGAAATACTGCTGGAAGAAGACGACCGGCTCGACGAATCATGCATCTTAGGCAGAAGGAGTTTAAGCCCATTGGATTTGCAAGCACTGTGACTTTCTCCTGCCTTCTGAGGAGACTGGAAGAGAGGGTCATCTTCAAACGTAACCCAGTTTGCAGGTTTTGTGGTAAACATTTTGTTGCAATAAGCTGGAGAAACTCAGAAGAATTTTAACTTGTGAATCATCTGTTTAAAGAGAAAAAAATGGATCAAGTAAGAACAGGCCCATTGTTATTCATAATAAAATTGATGTATATTCCCTCTCATTAATTTAAAAATATCTCTAAGCACTTTACAAGTTTTAAATACTTTAGGATACATTGTACGATAACGGGGGGGGGGCAGTCTTGCTCAATGGAAGAGCCACATACGATAAATGTCAGATGTTTGAGAGCCACAAATGGTCACCCATGCGCAGCGGCAGCCAGCCACAAAATAAACTTAAAGAGCCACATGTGGCTTCCAAGCCTCATTTGGCCACTCCTGTAACATACATAAGATACAACTAAAACATATCATGACTAAAACAATGATAAAAACTATCCTAAGCTACAAATTTAGATCAATCATCCAGGAAACTGTGTTTGGGTAGAACTGGAGGTCTTTGAGGCAAAATGCCTACAGGCCTACAACTCCCAGGATTATATTGCTGTATAAGTGAAACTGGTTTACTTATGTGGCTTCCACATCTGTATTGACTCTGATCTGTTCCAGCTTTGGTACAGGTCAGGCCTACCATTGGCAAAGTAATGGAAGCAACACAAAAGGAAGAGGCAAATTCCAAGCAGTCCGTTAAAAATACCTAGGGACTTGTCATATCTAAAACATGTATACAATATGCTTCATATTGCAAGAATTTACAACAATCACCACACAAGAAGAAAGCAAGGAGGAAGGTTCTATTTAAGTTACTTGTATTTTAAGTGATAGCTGGAGATATGATACCAGTGCTCATTATTCGGTTACGCATACAACCACAGCCTACTTGTTCTCAGCATTTCTACAATGGCAAGTAATTTTTATCCGTAACAACTGCTGTTTCTGTCAATGATTTTTTAATAAAGTGGTTTTTTCCATCAGCACTTTTTACAGGACAAGATTTTCCTTAATAAGATGCAGGATATATTGAGTCAAAAGATAATATGCACAAAAATTGTTCTTGTAAGGCTAACATTATTGCGGTCTTACAATTTGTCCTCAAAAACAAGACAAAGAATTTCAAGAGTATCTGCTATTTTTATAAGATTTTTTTTTCTTTTGTCTGTCTTAAGCAAATCAGTTCTCAGGTAACAGTAGGAAAGTGTTGTTGAAGCCTTGTTAATGTCAACATTATGCCAACACACTTAATCACTACAGAACCTATTATCATTTTTATCACTGATGTATTTATATACCACACTTCATTATCAAATCACAGGATGGAATACTAAATGCATTTAAACAATTAAAATAGGATAGAATGATAATATATTATCTTTGGAATGTATTGCAATGATCATAAACCACAATGATAATATTACATAGGAAGATTGAAATGTCTTACATTTCTTAATTAACAAATACCTTAATCAAGAACCCATTCAGATTTAAAATTCTGTTTTGCTTGTACAATTTTGAGATAATGCTCACATGGTCTACTCTCATGGACTGTATAAAAGCAAGAACCCAAAAACAATTTTAATACTATTTAATATATTAAAGGAGTGGGTGAGGAAGTAGAAGGAATAGTTTAGTTTTAGTTTAGGACTGCATACAATATAACTTGGGGTATCCCCAATGTTTTCAATCACAATATTCTGGAGCAAACAGTTTGAGAATTCTGTTTTGTAATTAATTCCAGTTTTTTTGCAACTTGCCAAGTATTTACATTTCAGTCAATAAACATAGGAAGGCAGACTTTTCTGGATCAAATCCCCTCATATGGTGTTGATAATACTATTACTATGGCTGTCAACAGAACTACAGTAATCAGATATTACTTTGCCAGTTGTTACATTAAAACATACACAGTCATTGAATGAGCTTGTATATCACAATAACCTACATTTTTCAAAACTCTGAATTATCATGAATAAGACAGTATGCCTATGTATGCTGGTCGCTTGCTGCTGCTGCTACTAATGGAAGTATCTGACCATTCCATGCTTTGTCCATCCAGGGTTTACTGTACTTGTACATGAAATGCAAACAAGGAATTCTGGCTTCCCTCCCTCTTGGCTTACCTCTCCCTTGACAAGCCAGAATAAAAAATGGACAAGAAACCATTGGTATCAATTCTGACTTGTTGGGGGAGACAAGCCAAAGTTCAAAGGTTTGTTTGGCAGCATATATCAGCCTGCTATGTTGTTCTTGAGAAGACACATTTAAAAAAAACCCACTAAGTTATCATGACATGTAAAATGGGCCACTGAATATTTTTTAGACAAGACATAGTGCTGAACACTTTATATGCACTGCAAAAGTAGACTGATACTTACCCTAATCTATAGATTCTCCCTCAAATGTCCAGTACCCACAAATTCTATAAACCATTCACTTGTGTGCCTGTTCCTTCAAACAACTTAGGAAAAAGATAACCAAGAAAGGAATCAATCCTATGTATGTTTAGCCAGAAAAAAAATCCTACATCTCCCAGCATTCCCTAGCCAGCCATGTTTATTGAAGCATGCTGGGAGTTGTAGGATGTTTTTGCTATCTAAACATGCAGGAGATTGCGCTCAAGGCACAATGGCTATAAAACTAAATCTCACCCTTTCCCACTGTCCACTTCAAGGAATCCTCTTTTCATCTACAGTAGCACTTAACTACCTACTTTACAGGGCTTTTTCTAACAATCAGAGGCAATGTATGCAAATTTAAAGACTTGGGACAAGGCTGGATGCCCTTGGATAAACCAGTTTCTCTCGTTCTCCAACTTCAAGGAATTTTCTCAAGGTTTCCCAGTAGCAGTAAACTGCATTATGTGGAAATACTAATCCTTCTACTATTTGTATATATTGGAATATTTACCAATCCTGAAAATGTAGCTAAAATTATACAATTTAGCTAGCTGTAATTTTGTTTTATAATGTCTAACAATATACAAATATTAAAATGATACAAGGAAGCCTTCTGCCAATACTCTCTTAGCTACCGAAACTTCCCAAAGATAGGCTCTAGGTGCAGAGTCCCTTTGTGTGATACACAGAGACTACAATGAAGAATTCAAGTTTTCAATGCAAGAATACTGTTGACAATACAATTCTGTTGCATTTATTTGAATTACATTTTTTACAAACAGCAACACTCTTAGGAACATTTTTAAAACATCCAGGGCTCAATATCATACACATTCACTAAGAAGCATGTACCCTTAACAGTGGCCACTGTTTCTTTAATTGGTGTTTGAAAAATCCAAAGCTTTGACTTGACTCTTCAATTTGCATTTTATGATCCTTTTCATTCCCTCTGAGTGCATGACCAATTTTAAGTTCCATAACAGATATAAGCAATCTTGTCTGTACTTTTACTAACTGCTCCTCTATTAGAATGGCATCTTATGTTCCCATTAAGTGTATTGATCTAGAGCAAAATGGAAACAGACTTATAGAAGCAGGAGCACACCCAAAACGTCTGATTTCCGGGTATCATGAAGCTGTTTAGCACCATCAAGTCTGCTAAACAACAAACAGAAAACAAAATATCAGGTAGCAACAGAGAGGCTAAGTTTTTCACTGCCCTCTATAAATTACATCCAGAATTGTCTGTGTAGAAGCAGAAAGACATCCATTAGTGAAACTGACTCCCTCCACCTTAGAGCCCCACCACCACCACACACACCAAAAATCAGCCCCAGAGTTTGCAGTACCCTCCAGATCAGATTTTGAAATGGCAAAGCAAAGTCCAGTTTTGCAAGCAGAAGTCCAGTTGTGTAATGGTGGATATAGTCCTAGGCTTTCAGATACTTGGGATGTTGAAAGATACAGAACAGTGAGCTGGTACTGCATGATAAATGCTTAATTTGGCCTAATTCTAATATAACATGGTATACTCAATTACTCTGTGACAATTCACACACCTATAGATTTTTTAAAGTGTTAAGCCCATGCATACAACCAAAGATTAATCTATGTACGTTTGCACTGTTTGCACGTATTTTGAAAGAATTTGTGCAATTATTGCTTACAGTTCCACAGAACAAAAGAGACAGCTCAGTCTCTTGCTGGAGACTTAACCCTGGGAATAACGACACAGAAGAATCAACAGAACTGTCCAATCAAGAGCTTCAACAAGATGTCTGGCTGATTTCTGGACATCAGGAATTATCAGAATTGTACTATCACTTTTCAAAAGGGAGAAAGAACGAAGGTTGAAAGTAAGATTTGGCTTTCAAGTTACCCACATCCACAAAAGGGATGATGGCTTGGATTTCTCAGACTAGAATTTTCATCATTTTTATCCAATGCAGCCTGAAATGGAAATGAAGCCAGCTTTGAAAGAAGCCTGTTCCCCTCATGCAGACACATTCTTAGCAGGTAAGCGCACAGCATTTCATGAGGAAAGGCTTCCACTTCACACAGCTGAGATTGGGGGTACACACTATGACATCTGTAGCAGCAACACATAGATTTTTCCTTCATGTAACAAACAGCTACAGTTTGCTATAGATTATTGGCAGATAATTTTATCTTCATTTGTACAGATGAGGCATCCAGGAACTCCACAATTATGGTAAACCACCCAGTGCGGCATAATGGTTAGATGGTGAACTGCGGCTCAGAAAATTGGATTCTAGTCCCCACTCAGCCATGAAGCTCACTCTGAGACTTTGGGCCAGTCACAGACTCTTAGCCTGAACCAACACACAGTGTTCTTGTTGCGAGGATAAAATGGGTAGAAGAAATGTATAAGCGACCTTGAGTTCTTTGACAGAGAAAGAAAGGTGGGGTATAAATGTAAAGTGCTGGTAGTGCTAGTGATATAACAATAATAACTCAGTCTTTCCCAACCTTGTACCCTGCAGGTGCTTTGATTTTCAACACTTATCAAAACCAACAGGTATGGCCAATAATCAGGCATGCCGAGAGTTGTGGTTCCAAACCAGGGTATCAGGTTCAGAAAGGCCGCTGTAATGCATGAAACTTTCCTTAGGTACTTCATGTTTGTGTAGATCAAGCAAATTTACTATGTCAGAAGGCGGACATCTG